TTTAAAAAAAAAAAAAAAAAGAATTTACTCTAAATGTCTTAGTTATTTCAGTAGTTATAGCTCATTCTTTATGAACAATTATTCTTATTGCCCACCTATCATTGTTTACCATTTCTAGTATATATTCTATATCCTTCATAATCCTGCTTAATTTTGGTCAGAAGGGGGTAAAGAAAATATTTTTAAAAAAAAACTATCTTTTCTTGTTTTACATGCCAAACCATTTCTCAATCCCTCCTTTCCTCCTGCTCCCTCTACCTTCCCTTGCCTCCTCCCCCCCCCGCTAAAAAAAAAACTCCCCATGCAACTCCTCAGAGTGGGGAATGCTTCCCATGGGAAATCAACAAAGTCTAGCACATTGATTGTGTTGAGGCAGGGCCAAGGCCCTCCCCACTATATGTAGGCTAAGCAGGGTATCCATCAAGGGAGAATGGGTTCCAAAAAGCCAGAACAAGCAGTAGGGATAAATCCTAGTCTCATTGCCAGTGGCCCTACAGTCTGCCCCAGCCATACAACTATCACCCACATTCAGAGGGCCTAGTTTGGTCCTTAACCTCACTGTCAGTCTGGAGTTGGAAGGCTTCCATTAGCTCAGGTAAACTGTTTCAGTGGATGGTCCCCATCATGGTCTTGACCTCTTTGCTCATATTCTCACTCCTCATTCTCTGTGACTGGACTTTGGGAGCTCATTCCAGTGGGTGCTATAGTTCTCTGCATCTGCTTCCATCAGTTGCTGGATGAAGGTTCTGGGGTGGTATTTAAGATAGTCATCAATCTGACTACAGGGCAAGGCCAGTTCGGGCACCCTCTGCTCTATTGCTTAGGGTCTTAGCTGGGGTCATCCTTGTGGATTCCTTGGGAATTTCTCTAGTGCCAGGTTTCTTGCTAGGCCCATAATGGCTTCCTCAATCATGATATCTTCTCTTGTTCTAGGTCATTGACTTCCCTCATCTTGACCATCCTGTTCCCTCTAGATTAGTTTTGATTTGCAATTCTCTGTTTAGACCTGTACCCCATTTTTTAATTGCTTTTTTTTTTTTTTTTTTGGTTTGGTTTTTTGAGACAGGGTTTCTCTGTGGTTTTGGATCCTATCGTGGAACTAGCTCTTGTAGACCAGGCTGGTCTCGAACTCACAGAGATCCGCCTGCCTCTGCCTCCCGAGTGCTGTTGCTTTCTTTTTCTATTTTATAATTTTAGCTTCTTTTTCAAAAATCAGGTGTTCATAGGTGCATGGATTAATATCTGTGACTTCGATTCAATTCTATTCATCAACCTGTCTGTTTATATGCCAATACCAGGCTGTTTTCGTTACTGTAGCACTGTAGTAGAGCTTGGTGTCAGTGATGGTGATCACTCCAGAAGTTTTTATTATACAGAATTGTTTTGGCTATCCTGGGATTTTTGCTTTTCTATATAAAGTTCAGTATTGTTCTTTCAAGATCTGTGAAGAATTGTATTGGGCTTTTGATAGGGATTACATTGAATCTGTAGATTGCTTTTGCCACTGTTATTATGTTGATCCTACCTATTCAGGAGTATGGCGATCTTTCCATTTAATGATGTCTTCTTCAGTCTCTTTCTTCAAAGACTTGAACAGTTATGTTGAACAGGTCTTTCACTTATTTGCTTAGTGTTACCCCAAGATATTTTTATGTTATTTCTGGCTATTGTGAATGGTGATGTTTCTCTGATTTCTTTCTCAGCTTCTTTATCATTTGTATATAGGAGGGGGGGGCTACTGATTTTTAAAAATTG